ACATGGCAGGGGAGACATGTTGAAGATTGCTCCTTGCCTTGACAAATCTCAAAATATCAGTTGGCTCTTTATATCACATACGTGTAGAACTTTAATAAAAACTTAAAATTTTTAAAGTTCTGAGGATTTTTATTTATTTGCCTGCTTTGTAATGTTAAGGTGAACTTCAGCTACCACTCCCAAAAAATAATCAGTATGATATGCATTTCCAACAAATATTCTGTGGAGTAGATTCCTGCAATGGAATTCATGCTACGAGGTTGGCACTGGCAAACTAGCAACTTCCAAAGAGAAGCCAACCGCATATGGTTTGCTTTCATTTATATCTTTTGTGAGGGTTCAACTTGAATACAGTTTTTATACATATTACAATTCCAGCATAGAGCCTCAAGAATTTGGCTAGCCAATGATTTTGAGGGTCTGTGCTGATTAGTTAACTTTTTAAATTGTCATATGTTGACTAATAGCCCATGTTATTAAGCCCTATGTAACATAACTATAGCAATATAAAGTATCTTAATCTCAGAACATTATCGGTCCTTCTATTAGATTTATTAGATATTTCCTATTAGTTGAAAATAAGCTATTACTACCCATTGGGGAATATTCTGGGAACTAAATTTAAGGAACCACTAACAGGAAAAGGAAAGCGGAGGGAGAAGAAGCAAGAGGATGAAGGTAAAGAGAAAGGCTGGACAACTTTGACAAGTCAGCCTATGCAACTGGTGCATGAAAATCATCCATTTCACATGGAATACTGTCTCTGGTTCTCCTTATAATTTACATCTATTTGTCCCCATTTTTGCTGTTACATTTACAAATCCTCTTTCCATACTCAACCTTTGCATTTTCTCCATGTTCTGCTCTATGATGACATTGAACTCAGTCATATTTCAGTTAAAAATTCATTCAGCTTCACTCATTCTTCAGAACATTAACTTTTTCCCCCTAAATTAATCTCCCTCCTTGTTATAATTTGCACACACTCCCTCTTTAGAGAAAAAAAACAATAATCACCACTTTCCATTGCCTGCATTGTGTACCTTTCTTTCTTACTACTTTTCTGGCTCACTGAGCATCTTTTTCTAAAGGTATAAGCTTCTTTCTTGTCAATTAAAATCAGCAAGACTATCAATGATCTGTCCTAGCCTATACTGCAGAGTTATTTACTGAAATACACTGTTAACCAGAATTTATCTAATAAAACAATTTCACAAAGGAGGTTATACGGTATTTATTTACACACATATGAATAAGAAATGAAGCATTCAAAATTTTCTTTCTAATCCAAGCAAAAAAAAAAAAAAGTCAACAAAAGTTCCAGTCAGATTATAAGATTTTTTTTCCTGTGCTAACTTACCACAAAGGGACCCAAGACCCTGAATTTCACCATGAATATAGCTTTACATGGTTTCAGTTGTACTCCAACAGACTATGAGATAAATGAAAAACAGTAACTCAATAAACAAGATACCAAAGTCCCTATTTCCTCATTGTGCTGAATGGCACCCTTAAATCCTTTAAATGAAAAGGGTATGCAAACTATACACGTGAATGCATGCGTTTTCTTTGGAAGATGTACCACAGCCTTTATGATTTTATTAGGTTCTCATTCCAGTACTCCACATAGATTGAGAATTACTGGCATAAGGTAAAAATAATTACACTGAGCATTAAAACTAATTTAAAATGTAACATCAAGTTAAAACAGTCACCATAAAGATGATACTAAATTGACCACAAAAGACAAAAACTATTTTTTTGACAAAAAACTATTTTTAAAAATATTTTAATAAAGAAAAATTGGTAATAAGCATTTGACCTGTTGTACATAGATTTCATGTAGTTTTCTATAATTATGGTGTATTTCGCCTCCAAAAAAATGCTTTTTAAAAAACTCTACATCCCAACAGAAAGAGAAACCAGTGTTTGCAGTCCCTGAATAAATCTTAAAGGACTAGAAATTTAAAAAAAAAAAAGGGGGGTTCAAGAAATAAAAGCATGATGTGTTTCCATGCGTAGGGATGAGTTTAAAATGTGGTTTTATTCTTAGTCCTCCTTGGAATACTTAAACTGTGGTGTGTGAAACCCTGGGGTAGGTAGTGGCCATAACTGACTGAGACTCTCTCCTGTTCTCAGACTCCAGGAAGCATTCCTAAATCCTTAGAATGCACTTTCCTTTTCTTCACACTAATTCAAATTCTATTTCTGTTACTTGCATCCAAAAAGTTTTAATTTGTGCATCTAGAAAGCTTATTTATTTTTGTTTAAGATTTTATTTATTTACTCATGAGAGACAGAGAGAGAGAGGCAGAGACGCAGGCAGAGGGAGAAGCAGACTCCCTATGGGGAGCCCGATGAGAGACTCGATCCCAGGACCCCAGGATCATAACCTGAGCCGAAGGCACACAGTCAACCACTGAGCCAACCCAGGCGCCCCCATCTAGAAAGTTTAAGTGAATCAACTGAAAACTGTTATTTATTTTTAAAATTTTGAAGTAATACCAAACTTACGAAAAGGTTGCAAGTACAATACAAAAAACTTCTTTACTAAACCACTGGAGAATAGTTTTTGTTATGATAATCCTCACCTCTGAACAGTCTGGTAAATATTTTCTATAAACCGGACATTCCCCAACATAAAAATAATATAAATATAAAAACCTCCACCTCCTTGCTTCATAGATAATGACCTTGCCCTACCAGCCTAGTGGCTTTAGGATAGAATTTTTCAGCAACAAAAGAGTAAGGACTATTAAATATTTCTTAAATCTTAGAAAGATATATGGATACAAAACAAATTACACTTTTCTCTTTGAGTTTTTAATGGCACATGATTGATCACTAGGAAATACAGTTTGCAAGTATAAATTTCATAAGAGATGGTTGCCAGAAAAAAAAAATGCTATTGCATGTCAGAAACTTTCTGCCCCGGAATTTTTCTCACTGAAATAATTTTATAACATAATTTTTGATATTTCAAATTTTCTTGGAAATACATAAAAAATATTAAAACAGGGGCACCTGGGTGGCTTAGTTGGTTAAGTGTCCAACTCCTGATTTTGGCTCAGGTCACGATCTCTGGGTCATGAGATGGAGCCCTGCATCCAGCTCTGTACTCAGTGTGGAGTCTGCTTGAGAGTCTCTCTCACCCTTTCCTTCTGCCCCTCCCTCACTCACTCTCTAAATAAATAACATCTTAAATATATATATAATATATATATAATATTAAATATATATATAAACAAGAGTCATTATGCATAACTACTGATGCCTTTCCTGAACACCAGCAATAATCAGAAAACAACTCTAACTCAGATCTGACTTCTGAACTCCAAACTTATTTTTCCAACTCCCTACTTAATATATTAATTTGTATTTCTTACAATCATTTTACACTTAATACATTCAAAATTAAACTTTTGATTTATAATCCACCAAATACATTTTCTGTTCTCTCAAATGCTCCCCACCCAGCCCTCAGTCTTCCTCAGCCCAGAAAAACTTAAAGCCAGCCCTAATTCTTCCCCTTTCTTAACTCCCCCTAATAGCTCATTAGGAACATCTTACTCCCAAAATATACCCCAAATCTGTCCACTTTGCTCTCCTCCACTATTCTATTAGCCAGGCTCCGCCATCTCCAAGAACACCAATATGGTGCCCACATTGGCTCTCCACCTCTATACTTTCTATCTCTCCAATTAATCTTCCACACCAGAGACATCTTTGTAACACTCGAAGTAAATCAGGCTGTTATTCATTAAATAAATGAAGACACAGGAAGTTTTACAATTTAAAAAACTAGTTCAAAAACTACCTGTTTTTTAAGAGAAAATATCTAAAAATCTTATCTGGGATGCTTTCTAGAATATCTGAAGGATTTGGAACTTTTGCATGTCCTCACCAACATGCATTGGATTCCAGTCTATTGCATTGGATTCCAGTCTATTGCAATACTAGGGGCCTGATAGATGCCAAGGAAAAATTTAGAGATGCAGCTATCTACATGCAATTCATTCATATGAGGGAAATATAGCCCATAGTCTAGTCAACAAAGGCAAAGACAAGAATTACAGGAGAGGGGAGTGACAGGACAAATGATAACTGCAATGGACCAGGTGAATCATACTTTATACTTTCCAACTAAAATGATTAGTCAGAAAATAGTAGTCAGTTTAGGTCATCTGCACTTGAGCAAGTTGACCAGGGGATCTGAAAACAAATGTTAGCTGTTTCTGGGTTTTCCAAAAACCAAAGGCATTGAACTCTGCAGTGTAAGTGACAGGCTGCCAATGTCCTTCCTCCATCTTGACTAGGTCAGGTCTCACCAATTCTCTCCATACAACTTTTCTGATACGAGAATTTCAAAAGCTACTTTAATATTTTGCAAAGAGCTAATTCAAAGTGAGTCTTTCAAGGCTAACAGTTTACTCTCAGACTATACTTGCAGTAATAATGTTCTCTTCTAATTCAAAAAAGATCATGCCATCACCGAATATACCCTGCCCTCCTTCAGCTGGGAGTTTGGTTAAGCATTTACCTCCACCACCCTGCACCTTACCTGTCCCCGCCTGTGAAAGTCTGCTCAACTCTGATCTGCTCTCGGAGCTTCTCAGAACCCCTCCTCAGTTTTGAGGGGATTCTCTGTCTCTTTCCTACTTCTCCTTGATTGCACTACAATGATAGCACAAATAACTGCCTGGACCTCAGAAAGAAATCCACCTGAGCTCAGTGGAAACCTTAAACCAGAAACACTGCTGAGATGCAGATGAAGTCTGAAGCAGCTGGCTCCCTGTCAAAACCAACGTGAGGGACTTGCTGCCACAGCCCAGTCCTGCAGCCCCTGTGACCCAAAGTCAGCCACAGCTTTATGTCTTTACAACAGCCCTGGAGAGAAGGCATTACCTCTCTGGCCCATTCCTATAAGACATGGGGCTTTCAGGGCTGCTGGCTAGTAGTTAAATCTATGAATATCAAGTTAACTTTCCAAGTCAACTTACCTGGTTATCTGAATCTCACAGTAGATGGGAAGATGCTGAGGGCAGAGGTACTGTTTTATTCTCTTTGGTCTCCCCTAGTCCTAAGCACAAACGGATGCTCAAGAACTGTGGTTGAATCTAATTGTCTTAACTCTGACTTAACACCTCCATTTGGAAGGCTAATACATATTTTATACCAGTTGCATCACATTATATTTTGATATAATTACTACAGTGTTTTAAGAGGCATATTATCCATGATGAAACATTCTTCATTCCCACCACACTCAACTGTTCCTGTTTTAGGCTTTAGTTTTATCAAGCCAAATACCTAGAATTTATCCATAATTTTTATCTTTCCTTCATCTCCCAAATCCATCCTTTCATCCTAAGGCCTTATAGGCTGTCTATCCAAAATACATGCCAGTTTGAACTAATTCTCTTCATCTTTTCTGCTCCATTTGGTTCAGGTTCATCTCTTATCTGAACTACTACATTGATCCCCTAACTACTCTTTGCCTCTTTGATCCATTTTCTAGAATATATCCAGAATATATATGTTTAAATGGGCTTGAGATCAGCAATTAGGATTAATTGATATGAATATGAATTCATATGAATCCAAAAGAAGCATAGTAGCAAGAGACAAGTTGATCCTGGCTCCTGAAAATTAATAAAGGTGAGTACAAAGTTTAAGAAATCATTGTCTTGAAATCCACAATTTAGCAAATTAACCCCAGCTACAATGAAGATTTGTGACCTTTGGTTTATCTGTCATTACTTTATCTGAGTTAAGAAGGAATTTATTGCCATTAAATACCCAGCATCAGCAATAGAAAACAGACCATGAATCATCTCGTATTTTATCTACTATCTCTTTAAAAATTTACCCTTTTACTGAGTCCTTAATCCTTTGACTATATTACACAGTAGAATTCCCTGAAAGATGCATAGCTTTAGAACTCTCCACCTTCAATGGAGTCCTTAAAGAAGAGCAATAGGGCATACTGCAGTGTATATCCTAGGACAGTGCATACTACTGATCTCAAAGCCTATTTGCCATATCATATGGGCTTTGCTCCTAAATGAAAGTAGATAAAAATCTTCTGAAGATAGAGCAAATCCCCAAGTATCCACATTCTTTCCACATTGTTCCAAAGGTTCTCCCTGACCACACTCCCCCACAGTGGTTACTCCCAGCTCCAACTCTTCTGAGTCAGCCTATTCAAATTGTTCCTTACTGCTCGCTGAGCCAAATAACAAGCCTTTTGGGTAAACAAATATTCATTCAGCTTCAAGGTGTTACTGGAAAGTGGGGCAACCAGAACGAGACTGGAACAAGCACAATTGTGCAAGAATGTTTATCTGTAGCGCCAGGGCCAAAGGACAAATAGGGGCTGAAATGCAGACAGCTCAATTTGCCAAACCAAGTGCCGCTTCAACCATATGTTCATTGGGCTCCATATGCCCAATAGACTTTCCCTTTCTATTTCAAATAAAAACGTGCCATGTGGATTAATATCGATCTTGATCTTCTTCTTAAGAGAAGAAAAACAAGATTCTTCAACTCTCCGAAGACCTGTAAAACAAGAAGGTGGTCTCTCTTCTGAGATCAAACTTTTATTGTTTTCATTGAAAAGAGATGGAAATCGCAGGATATCAGTGGTCAGAGACTGACCCAGAAGGTTTTTATGGTCCCTTCATTCCCAAATAGATGCTGTGCTAGGCAAGATTCCAATTATTGCTTATACTGCTTCTTCAGTTGTCTGGATGGTGCTCTTCATTTAACTGAAGGTTGATGACCAAGGGAGCACCACGTTTTCCAGCTGAATGTCTTTACTCTGTTGGGACTCCTCCAAAGCAGGGAGTTAACTCCTGGTCTTTTGACTTGCGCTGGGGCAAAAATTATCAGCCCGTGGTGATCATTATAATAATTCTGTTGGTCCAACAAAACCTCTCCACTGAACTCCACTGGTTCAACAAAGTATAATTACTTTCTGGTCTTATTTTTCTGCATAAAATGGAAAGCTAATTCATACAATTCATAAACAAGAGTGTTTTTTTCCCAGAAAATTTGCAGCAATTACCTATTCTCCTCACTTATTAGAACATATAACTTATCTCCTAGGATAGTCATAAATATTTAGAGAAAAAAAATCAATAATTGGGTACATACCCCCCAAAATTGAAAGCAGAGTACACCTATGTTCATAATAACATCATTCACAATAGCCAAAAGGTGGAAGAAACCCAAGTGTCCATTGATGGAGGAATAAATAATCAAAATGTGGTATACACATACAATGGAATATTGCTCAGCCTTAAAAAGGAAGGAAGGGTCAGATCATGATCTCAGGGTCCTGGGATCCAGCCCTGCGTGGGATTCCACACTCAGTAGGGAGTCAACATCCCTTCTCCCTCTCCTTCTGCTTCTTACCCCATTCATGCACTCTCTCTTTCTCTCAAGTAAATAAATAAATCTTAAAAAGAAAAAAGAAAAAAATAGAATGAAAGAAAAAAAATTTACTAGGTAGGCTTAAATAAGATGGAAATGACAGAGAAAAGAATGATAAATTGAAAACAGATCAATAGAAATGATCCAGGGGTGCCTGGTTAATGATTAATGATTCAGTGGCTCAACTGGTTAAGCGTCCGACTGTTGATTTTGGCTCAGGTCATGATCTCATGGGTCATGGGATCAAGCCGCAAGTCAGGCTCAGCAGTGAGTCTGCCTGAAGATTTTCTCTCTCTACTCCTCCCCTACTCATGCATGGTATCTCTCTCTCTCTCTCGCTCAAATAAATAAATAAATCTTAAAAAAAATAGAGATGATCCAATCTGAAGAATAAACAGAAAAAGGATTAAAAAGTAAACAGTCACAGGGACCTATGGGACAATATCAATAATTATTGGAGTCCCCAAAGAAGAGGAGAGAGATACTGTGACGGACAAAATATTAGAAGAAAAAATGACTAAAAACTCAACTTTGGTAAAGACATAAATTTAAAATTCAAGAGATTTAGTTAGCCCAAGATAAAATAAATTTTTATTTATTAAAATAAATAAACTTTATTTTATCACATCAAAACCAAATTGCTGAAAAACAAAGAAATGTCCTGAAAGCACCCATAACAAAATGATGCATTACATAAAGAGGAACGAAAATTCAAACACTACAGGTAGTAGAAAATAGTAAGGATTCCTCATCAGAAATTAGAAAGGCAGTGGAGTAAAATCTTTAAAGTGCCAAAAGAAATGTCAACTCCAAATTTGATAATCAGTGAAAATATCCTCCAGGAATGAAGTAACATGAGGGTTATTCTTGATAAAGAAAACCAGAGAATATATTGCCAATATATCTGCTATGAGAGAAATTGCTAAAGGAATTAAGGCTGAAGGAAATGTTCCCAGAGGAAAACTTGAACTTTAGGAATGAAAGAAAAAACAATGGAAGTAATAAATGTCCAGTTAAATGATATTTTTCTCTTTAAATTCTCTGAAATATAAATGTTGAAAGCAAAAATTTAGCATTGTCTGGGAAGGTGTAAATGTGATACTATGACAATCATAAGATAAAGGGGGAAAGATAAAGTAACCTATATAGTTATAAGTCCTATATTTTACCTGAAGCTATAAAATATGATCTCTAAGTAGACTGAAAACTTAGTCATGTATATTATAATCCTTATAGCAACCACTGGAAAAAAATAAAAACAGACATAGCCAAAAAGCCACGAGATAAATTAAAATGCAATAACAAAAAATAGGGACACCTGGGTGGCTCAGACAGTTGTGCATCTGCCTTTGGCCCAGGCTGTGATCCTGGGATCCTGGGATCGACCCCCGCATCGGGCTCTTCTTGGGGAGCCTATTTCTCCCTCTGCCTGTGTCTCTGCCTCTCATGAATAAAAAAATAAAATCTTAAAAAAAAACAAAAACAAAAACAAAAACAAAAAAACCACATCATTTGTTAAAAAACCAAAGATTGTCAGATTGGATTTAAATAAAAAACTACAGTCTAAAAAAAAAAAAAACCGGTTATATTGTACCTACAAGAAACTTACTTTATGATGATATACGTATAATAAAAGGGTGAAAATAAACCACATAAACCCCGATCAAAAGAAAGCTGTATCGTCTATATTAATATCAAATAAATTATATTTCTGATCAAGAAAAATTACTTATCAGGAACAAAAGGGGACAATACATAATGATGAAAAGGTCAATTCATCAAGAAGACATACAATCATTAATTTGTATGCATCTAACAACAAGGCGTGAAACAAAAACTGATGGGACAAGTTCACAAATACACTTTGTTGCATCAACATTCCTCTCTTAGTAATCTACAGAACAAGTAGACAAAAAATCAGTGTCATTTAAAGAATATCTGCCAGACAACAATAGAAGAAGACACGTGGAACATTCACCAAGATAGAGCATTGGCTGAGCCATAAAATAAACTTATTTAAAATGAATTTAAAAGAATTGAATTCATAATGGAATTTTAAACTCCACGGCACGTGTTCTTCATTGGTGCTCAGAGTTGCCCAAGTTGTATTTCAGTTGCCCTCAGAAGTAATTTGTTTGATTAACTCACCCTTTATTGGCTGCTTTTGCATTCCTGTCTCACTTCCCTAATCCCACACCAATGTTTCCTAGGATCATTTCCAAAGAAACTCCTTTCTTGAGGTCTGCTTCTGGAAGTCCAAGCTAACACAGCTGCTTATACTGTCAGTTCTCATTATTTGAGGAAGTGAGATTTTCTAAAGTCACTGCAACACTGAATTAGCGAATCCTAAACCACCTTGCTGCAAGGGAAAATACAGTTGGGTTCCCAGGATCCTCTGGTCATGACATTTTCATCAACTAATCAATACATAACCTTGTTTTATGCATGTTTCTGTTTAAAGACGACTTATTTAATATACATTGAAAACTTCATTAACATGGAACTCATGCCAACAGCACTGTAACTCACGTCTACGTGAAGCTTATCTAGCACACATATGTTCTCCATTAGACACATCAGAGCCTTCTTGCAGTTAGATTCACTAGACAGCACTTCACCACGATACTTGGGGGCCATTTGGAAGAGCAGATCAACACCACACACAAATCTGGAAAACATGATACTAAATAGACCACGAAAAGGACACTTGTTTACAGTATGAGAGCTGGAACAAGTCAGAATATTACCTTGTTTACCCTCAGCTGGGAACACACATGTAGGGAAATGCTAACCTTTGGATGCTCTGCACATGTCTGTGAGTAACTGTGAAAGACCCAGGTGTATTTATTTTTTTAAAAAAAGATTATTTATTTATTCGTGAGAGACACAGACCGAGAGAGGCAGAGACACAGGCAGAGGGAGAAGCAGGCTCCATGCAGGGCCTCTGCCTTTGGCTCAGGTTGTGATCCCAGGGGACGGAATCTCATATCAGGCTCCCCGCAGGGAGCCTACTTCTCCCTCTGCCTATGTCTCTGCCTCTGTGTGTCTCTCATGAATAAATAAATAAAATCTTTATTAAAAAAATAGTTCAAAGCACAAAAGCATTGATAATAACTCCTTAATAAAAATATAGAAATTACTCACAACTTACTACCAAATGTGGAAAAACATGGCCTAGACAGACACTTTCAATAGCTCATCCATCGTTCAATACACATGCAAAGACACATGTCCAGCAGTATGTCAGAAGATGGGACCTGGGGTTTACTGTATGTGGAATTCTCAGTGCAAGCTCTCAGGTGAGAAGTGAGATAAATTACTAACCAGACACGCACAGTAAAATGGGTGCTACGAGAAAGAGAAGTCGGGGGGTTACAGGAGCTCAGGAGAACATATACCCAATGGACGCTCAGAGGCAACTTCGTGGGTAAGACGGTAACATGAAGATTCAGAGAAACAGAGCATCCCAAGTTCACAAAGTTTCAAGTGTCGGGATGGTGAGAATAAACTCGACTGGTAGGCAAAGGCCAAATCTTGAGGGCCTTTAGGTCAGGCTAACAAGTCTGATTTTTTTCAGAAGACAAGGGGGACCCACCATAAGATATTCAATCATGGGGGGCGGGAAATTGGGGAGAATTGTGAGTATAACATCAGGTTTACAATTTAGGGAGACCAGTTAGGAAATAGATCAGTGATGGGCTGCAGAGTCTGCAAAACTGGTAAGTGGCTGTTCCGGTAAGCTTAGTAATGAGAATTCGAGTCACAGTAATCCAAACACCAAGAAGGCGTGAATTAAGACACTGATAGAGGGGAAAGGGAAAGAAGTGAAGACATATTTGTAAGTCAGAGTCACTAGGGCTTGGCAACTAATAGAAGTGAAGTGTCAGTGGGGCAGAGGGATCCCAGGATGCTTCCAGGTTCCTAGTGAGCCGTTAATCAGACAATGGTACCAAAAGAGTTCCTCATGACTGAAGGTGACACTTCTTGTATGCCATAGCACTATCTGATGGCTTAAAACTCAGAAATAAAAATAATCGTTATGACTGAGAAGATTCACAAATGGCAGATTTTAGTCTGTGATCTTAAAAAATAAACATGTTTAAGATTAAAAAGTGCCCCACCACCCACAACCGCCCGGCACGACACTGCAAAGTGGACATCCTGGCTCCTAAGATTCATTTTAGCAGGAGAGAGCTCCTCCTGGGCAGCTGGGGCCTCCAGGGGAGTTGGGGATCCTCTGTACACAGAACAGCATCAAATTCCCTTCCCAGCCAACCCCTCCCCTGCAGTCAATACTCTAAAATAGGATCTAATCAGAGAGGACATTCCCCTTCCAAGGCCTTCATAAGCAACAGGAGAACCTGATCGTATAACAGAGAGGAGATTCGACCTCCGGATGAGGTCTTCTGCATTTCTTGTTCTTATCGAGGAGCACTGCAGCCTGAGGATATAGTGGAAGGTATTACTGCACTAAGAGCTGGATGACCACACATACCACTTTCATCTTCAGCGGCTCTCCCCTGTTCTCAACACAAAATCCAAACAACTTGTGTGTATCCGGTGATCTTCATGCCATGGAAAGCATCCAACCAATGCTTCCCTTTAGCGGAGAACTGGTTTCTTTGATTATTGGCCACAGGGCCATCATAATCATGTTTAAGTGGCATGGCCTGAACTTCTGGCAACAATTTCATAGAACAAGGGTGGGCCCAAGATGAACTGTCAGGAGCTGTCCACCTTCTCAATCATCTCCCCTCACTCATTCACTGGCATTTAATGGTCTTTTTTTTTTTAAATAAATTTATTCTTTATTGGTGTTCAATTTACCAACATACAGAATAACACCCAGTGCTCATCCTGTCAAGTGCCCCCCTCAGTGCCCGTCACCCATTCACCCCCCCCACCCTCCTCCCCTTCCACCACCCCTAGTTCGTTTCCCAGAGTTAGGAGTCTTTCATGTTCTGTCTCCCTTTCTGATATTTCCCACACATTCTTCTCCCTTCCCTTATATTCCCTTTCACTATTATTTATATTCCCCAAATAAATGAGAACATATAATGTTTGTCCTTCTCTGATTGACTTACTTCACTCAGCATCATACCCTCCAGTTCCATCCACGTCGAAGCAAATGGTGGGTATTTGTTGTTTCTAATGGCTGAGGAATATTCCATTGTATACATAGACCACATCTTCTTTATCCATTCATCTTTCGATGGACACCGAGGCTCCTTCCACTGTTTGGCTATTGTCATTTAATGGTCTTTAGTGAAATACAACTAGCAGGGATGCAAATGATTTGTCCAACAGGAAAAAAAAAAATCACCCCAGAGTCTATGGTTTTATTACTCTGTAAGACATTTTTTTATACTAACTATATAAATGAGCATTTCAAATTGTTGTTTTGTTTTTTGTTTTTACCATCCTTTGATTCCCTAATTAACGAGTTAAGTAAAACCTTTGACAAATGCTCCTTCTAAATTTTTCAAATTCTACTTTGGCAAATATAGCTAATTTCCCACATCTCAGTTTTCTGTGTGAAATGTAGTAGGCACAAGCATGAGAAAAGTTCTCTTGTATTATGGAAGGTTTCACAATCCAAATATGCTCACCATTAAGGGACTTCTTAAAAATACTAACATGTCCTCAAGAGGTGTTCCATCTTCTGGAATACGGAGAATTTCCCAGTATTTCTGCCACTTAGGACTAGTATATTTCCGTTGCCTTTGAGGGTCACCTAACTCAGCGGACCAGAGGACTGGGCCTTGGAGAGACATCTCAGCTTCCCAACCACCACCTTGTACCATCTGAAGTTTTATTTTATTTTTTTTATTTTATTTTTTCCATCTGAAGTTTTAGAATAATTCCAAAATGCTGTAGCTGACCTTGGGTCTTGCCCCTACCTGCACCATTACCCAGATCTACTACCCAGAGGCATAAATACTAATGAGCCATTAGCATGAAATCATTAAAATTACTGGGGATTTCAACTGTGAGCTGTTGAGTTGAAACAGGATTCTGACCACCTCCAAGTCTCAGATCTTTGGGCAAGACACCTCATTAATCTTTCTTGATCTCCATTTCCACAGCGGCACAATGAGGCAACACCGTTCTTCCCACAGGATTACAAAACGCGAGCAGCCTGGGTCCCTGTGTATAGGGAATCCAGTGTCAGCCTCGAAATCCGGCTGGCCCCAGGCCTACTCAGAAGCTCCACCTTGAGCACAGTAAATCACACACACTTAGACACCTAAGTGACTTTATTACAGGACTCAGGAGCCCGGCAGCACGCCGCCCTCTAATACCTAGAAAGGAGTGGTGCTGAGCTGCAGGAAAGGAGAAGTTTTTAAAGGCCGAAGGGAGCAGAGAAAAGAAAATCTTTAGCAGAGAATGCATTGTGTTTGGCAAGGTCACCCTCCTAAAAAGAACCAGGAGGGTCAGTCTAGTAGGGATCAGCGGATCCCCTGTTGACCCTTAAAGGTCACAGGGGGGAGGGGGTGGCCAGGAAGCCGCAGGTGGGGTGGGGGCCGGGTCTCCCTTTGCTGCCCCAGGGCCCGACCAGAGGGGTCTGTATCTGGGGCCTGTGGTTTTCGTTTTGCCCCAGTTTAAAGCAGCGATCTTTGCGGCTCCCCTTCCCCTGGAACCCGGGGAGGCAATGGCCCGAGGCCCTTCCAAGGCTCAACAATTCTTTCCCGAAGAAAGCACGTGGTCAGATGCGTGGGCAGAGCCCCACGGAGCCCGAGGGTTACCGACCGCGGGAGGGGATGTCGAGACGCCGAGCGGCCGGGTCTGCCCCCAGGTGCGCTCCCAGGTGCGCTTCCGGGCCCGGAAACCCTCCGCCCTCGGGGCCCCTTAGGGCACAGCTCCCCCCCCAACCCCGAGGCTGCGGGCGGGGGCGGGGCGGGGGCGGGGCGGCCTCGGGCCGTTGCTCCTCCTCCTCCTCCTCCTCCTCTTCCTCCTCCTCCTCCCCTCCCCCCGCCCCTCCTCCGGGTCGCGCGTCACCCCGGGCGCTGTCCCGCCCCCGCCCCGCCCCCCGCTGTCCCGGCCTGCAGCGGCGTCAGTCATGGCCTTGGCGGGCGCAGTCCGGTGCTGGCGGCCGGGAGCAGGCCCGAGGTGAGCGCCGGGGCGGGGGCCGGGCCTGGGGGGCCGGGAGTGGGGAGCCGGGGGGCGGGGGCGGGGGCCGGGGCTCCGTCCGCGGGGAGCGGCCCCTCCCTTACCTCGTCCGGGCAGCGGCAGGGCCCCGGGCAGGGCGACGGCGGGCGTCCGGCTCCTCGGGGCGGAGGCGGCCCCCCGCGGCGGGTGCGAGGGCCCCGGGGACCCATGGGATCCCCCCGCGGCGGGTGCAAGGGCCCGGGGGCTCGTGGGGTCCCCCCGCGGCGCGTGCGAGGGCCCCAGGGCTCGTGGGGTCCCCCCGCGGCGGGTGCGAGGGCCCGGGGCTCGTGGGGTCCCTCCGCGGCGAGCCCAAGGGCCCGGGGGCTCGTGGGGTCCCCTCGCGGCGGGTGCGAGGGCCCCGGGGCTCGTGGGGTCCCCCCGCGGCGAGCCCAAGGGCCCGGGGGCTCGTGGGGTCCCCTCGCGGTGAGTCCAAGGGCCCGGGGGCTGGTGGGGTCCCCCCGCGGCGGGTGCGAGAGCCCCGGGGGTTCGTGGGGGTCCCCCCACGGCGGGTGCGAGGGCCCTCGGGGCTGGGGGGTCCCCCCGCAGCGGGTGCGAGAGCCCCAGGGCGGCGGGTGCGAGGCTTCGGGTGCTCGTGAGGTCCCCCCGCGGCGGGTGTGAGGCCCCGGGGGCTCGTGGGCCCGGACGCAAGTGGCCAAAGGAGCTCAGCCCCCCCCCCGCCCGGCTCTCCCACCCAGGGCAGAGGCCGCGCGGTCGAGGTGCCGCCCCCGGGGTGCCGCTCGGAGGACGCGCCCCTGTGAGTCGGGCCCCTGTGAGTCGACACGCCACCCCCACCCCCACCCCCCGTGTGAATGAGCCTCGGAAAGCGGCTCTGCGCGCGGAGCCAGAAAACCTGGGCGCGCGGTCGTTGGGACGCGGTGGGCTTAGGAATGACTTTCTTGATTTTATGAATTAGATGGTCGTGTTTTGTCATTTTTTTAACTCCCTCTAAAAGAAGCTGTATGTCGTGAGAACTTGCGCACTTGGGCTCTCTTATGGACATTTTGTTCTCCTTTCGTCTTGGGAACTTAACATGCATCATGTGGGATGCAGAGTTCTCCCGTTTTGGGGAAGAACCTGATCTAGTTATTTGATATAGAAATTATTGACGATTTTATCGAGTTGCTGGTATTTCAGAGTTTGATCCTAGGGTTCATTATACTCTGTGAAAAAGTTATATTATTGCAGAGGAAGCATCCATTAGGTGTGAGCGTTCCGGAGGACTGTATCATTTTAAACCTCATTGATCCCATTAACTCTAACTTTATATCCCAGGGTCATTGTGGGGAGCATCTGTTTTTTTGTTTGTGGCCTCAATACCATGCACTGAAATTTTCTCCTCTGCCAACTAAAAAACTGTACCAGGTTGTGCTTGCTGTTTCTGCTCTGCTCCTAGCTGGCTGGTTAAACTTCCCAGGGTGAGTATGTAGTTACGGGGGTTCAGGGCAGCGTCACACACTAGCATCCACAGCAGTTAGACTCCCCCCCTAGGTAGTTCCCCCACCTACCGAGAAGGGGCTCTTTGTCTGGAATGCCAAAAACAGCTCATCTGCTTTTTGAACATTTCTCGTATGTTAACCCATCCTCCCCTCCTTCCGATGTGGGAGAGAAGGCAAAAAAAAAATTAAATTTCCTCACTGCTCACAGCCCACTGACACGTCCTGGCAACGGGCAGATGCCCTTCCTGTAGGAGCCCCACTGCCTCCGGGCTCAGGCTTTGCTGAGGGCAGCAGGGATCTGAGCCCGAGCCCGACCCCAGGACCTGGGAGTCTCCTCTGACATAGAAAAGCCCTTTGGAAACATCCTCTAGCTCCACCCCCAAGATGCAGGTTGGCGACCCCCGCCCAAGCATGGGACCCGCCCATATCCACCTGAAGGGTCTCCTGCATCAGGGTTTATTAGGAATAAGTGACCTTTTCCCAGCAACAGCTGATCCCCTCAAGGTCCTGGAGACCTTGCTTCCAAAATTTCCTTAGAGACCTGCGCTCTCCCTCACCCCCTCCTAACTTGAAACTGTATAATGGGCCACTCCTCGTGACCCCAGGGCAGCTCTTTCTGCCCATGGGTCCTGTCCCTTCTAATAAAACCACATTTTTGCACCCAGGATGTCTCAAGAACTCTTTCTTGGCCTTTGGCTCTGAATTCCAAGTTCTCTCCTACATCGCTTCCATCTGTATGTTGGGACACACATTTTACTGGACAGAATTGACCTGATAATGGTTTATACTTTGTTCATCAGTGAGAGCAGACAGGGTTTCTGGTCCTTGGAACACAAAGGGCCAGTTTCTGTGCACTTAACCTCTTCAGGCCCAGCGTCCTGCTCACTTCCATCTTGCATGCCTTTCATTTAATCCTTCTTACCTGTGTCAAAATTTACATGGCCATTCAGGTTCTGGCTTCTTTGGTCAGTAATTTGAATTGCTACAAATACTATGCTGGCTTATAGCTTCCTTTATTTTAAGATTACTACAGTTAGCCTCTGTATTGATTTTGTCTTCTAGGGATCATTTTGGAAACCACTGTTGGGGAGGAAGAAGCTGATTCCCCCCTCACAGTCCTTCCAGCTGGATAACAATCAAATTGGCATGCGACAGATTAACAGGAGAAAATCAAATTTAGTTTCATACTATGGGGAATCCACATAGACGTGAAATTCCAAAGACCGGCAACCTGAGGCCGACAGGATTTCTATTTTAAAGCCTCTGTTCAGAGCTAAGGAGAAGAGTAGGGCCCTGAGGATACAAAGCAGAGGCGGGAGACCATTAGCAGAAAGGGGAGAGGAGGTCATGGGAAAACAAAGGTTCTTCCATTATGCAAAAAAAAAAGTTTATTAAATAAGAGGAATCTCTATTCATGGCCCTCTTCCAGGTACAAGCTCCTCTTTCCAACCTAAACGTAGGCAGTTGGTGGGGAGGCAGAGCTTTTCCTGAATCTTCTGGGCTTTGCTCACTTTTAGCTCAAACTACTCGTCATGCCTAAGTGTCCCATGTTGGGACTGCCTGCCCGTGGCTTCTGCACCACTAACCGTTGGCCGCCAGCTTGTAAAGGGGCGGGTATAGGGAAGGGAACGTGTTCCAGGAGAAATAGAACATTTGGGTATGCAAGGATTGGGAGCAATTAGAAATCAGTCTGCTTATTTGCAGTTCCCTGCAGATGCAAGCACTTTCACTGCACATGAGCAAAACAGCAATGGGAGCGAGTCAGAAGGATTTTGAGAGTGCGATGAATCAGGTGAAACTGTTGAAGAAGGACCCAGGAAATGAAGTGAAGCTAAAACTCTATGCACTGTATAAGCAGGTAAACATCTGAGTTCTGATGTGATTGAGAGACGTTTTGGGCAGATGGACCCTCAAATAGATCTGCTGCGTGTTTTACTGAAATGCAGTTCTCATAGTTTAGGGATTGTGCTGCTGCTTTTCCCCTGAACAGTGTATACGTGACAGTTTTCGTATATTGGGCTTTGCAGTATTGTTAAGGCAGGAAGTAACCCGTCAGGATCACTCCGGAGTCCAAGAGACTTAAAAGAGGTAACCACCAAATGTGTAGACCGATGAGGGAACAGAGGACTAGCTGAGGACAAAGCACATTGACAAGTCCTTGAAACAGGCAGAGGGACCTTCCTCTACGGACTCAACTGCCTCGAGGTTCATACTTCGCTAAGGACAGAAGGCAATCTTAGTCTGACCCCCAGGATCCTGTAAGTCTACTTTAACATATGGAAATGTTTCTAATTCCTTTAGAAAGTTCCTTTATCTCTACCCCCCAAGATACATGCTGGCGATCATCCCCCAAGCACATGGCCCACAGATACACATCTGAAGGGTCTCATGACTCAGGTTTTATTAGACGCTAATAAGTGACCTTTCCCAACAGTAGCAGCCCCCTCAGGGTCCTGGAAACCTTGCTTCCAAAATTCCTTAGAGAGGACGCTATCCTCACACCCCTCCCAACTCACAGGTATACAGTCAGCCCCGCTCACAGGCCCGGGGCAGCCGCTCTTCCTGCCCACGGGTCCTGTCCCCAAGCTTTAATAAAAATCACCATCTTGCACCAAAGATGTCTCAAGAATTCTTTCTTGGTCGTCAGCTCCAGACCTCACCTGTATTCCAAAACTTCATCACCTGGGAGTTATTATTAATGGCACCATGATCATATAAGAAAACGTTGACGTTCTTTAGGAATGCACACTACATACGTAGGGGTAAAATAGTATGGTGTTTGGGATTCACTAAAATGAGCAAAAAAGGAAAGAGAAGGATGGACAAAGGCCCAAAAGTAATAGTTACTGAGTTGGGCTGAGTATTGGGAATTCATTATAATATTCTACTTTTATGTACGTTTGAAAATGTTTGTAACAAAACAATTTTTTTTTTATATTTTATTTACTTACTCATGAGAGAGGCAATGACACAGGCAGAGGGAGAAGCAGGCTCCCCATGGGGAACCTAATGCAGGGCTCGATTCCAGGACCTTGGGATCACCCCCGGAGCGGGAGGCAGACGCTCAACCACTGGGCTACCCTGGTAGCCCTATAACAAAAATTTATAACTGAAGTTTTTAAGTTGTAACGTCTGTAAAGACCGCATTGGGACGTCAGCTGGTCTGGGCACCTGCGTGTGATGGGCACGAGCCTCCCTTCTTGTTCTCTGGGTGTGTGTTGTGAAGATTTTGACTTTGCTTAGGCCTGGCCTTTGGCCCTGACTTCTAGGAGGTAATCCCTAAGCTGTCAAAATATCATGCCTGATACGGAGTGTCTGTCTGCCCTGAGAGTCTAACAGCGTGAGTTAGAGCTGGGGGGGGGTGCGGGGGGGGTGCGGGGGGGGGGGGTCTGACTGTTTAGCAGGCCCTGCACATGTGATAGAGCTCCAGATGAGACCCTTGGACTCAGGCAAGACTCCAGCGAGCTTCCCTGGCAGGAGTACTCCCGGGGTGTTGACACCCATCCATTCTGGGAGGAGTATTGCCGACCCGACTCCATGGTGGGTGCGGGAAGGACAAGGCCAGGGGCACCATGTTGCCTCCACTTCTCCAGGGCCTGCCTCTTGCGGGGTGACTCTTGTCTCTTTGTCTTTGGAAAGTCTAAGCCACCTCTACTGCTCTTGTTTCTCAAAGCCTCTTTCTTCTTTCCCCCTTTAGCTAATTAGGGAATTCAGAGTCTTTAAATGTGCCTATTTGGGGCAGCCCGGGTGGCTCAGCGGTTTAGCACCTGCCTTCGGCCCAGGGCCTGACCCTGAAGACCGGGAATCGAGTCCCACGTCGGGCTCCCTGCATGGAGCCTGCTTCTCCCTCTGCCTGTGTCTCTGCCTCTCGCTCTCTCGCTCTCTCTGTCTTTCATTCATGAATAAATAAAAATAAAATTCTTAAAAAATAAATAAATGTGCCTTTTTAAATGGAAAGCAGTTAGATGGGATATTCATCTCAAAACCCTCATTCCACCTACTCTCAAACAAGTAAAATTTCATTGTTTTTACATCCTACTTGCATAGTCTTCAGTTACGTTTGCAGAGGGCCAGTGGCTCTGGCCCCTGCCCGTCCCTACTACCCCAGTACGCCTCTGTTCACTTAGCAGAAAGCCCACCGCTGAAACAGTGGTATTTTTCTGTACCTCTGAGTGGGCTTTCAGAATATACGGTAGGTTTCCACATGTTTGTTGGCTGGTTACTTTTGAAGATAGTTTGCTTGGATATTTTGATTGTGAAAAATGGGATCATCAATATAGCACTAATGAACTATTAGAACTTTTTATAAAATACTTTGCCCAAACCCTTGTCTTGCATTGTTTTCGTATGCAGGCATTTTAACTTACTTTAGGGACTGGTAGCTGATGGCGCATTTGGTCTCTCCAGTCTTTTTTCTGTTGTGGATTTTTAGCAGCAGCATCAAAGAGACGGGAAAGGGAAAGTTAAGTTGAATTCAAGTATTTTCTGAAAGTGTTTGCGAGGCGAAGGCGCATTCACACCAGTTGTGCACTTTATGGATCTTAAATATTTGACACTCTAATTTGCATGGATGTTTGACTGATAGTCACCCTCTCGTTTTCACAGACCACTGAGGGGCCTTGTAATACACCCAGACCAGGTGTGTTTGACTTGATCAATAAGGCCAAATGGGATGCATGGAATGCTCTTGGCAATCTGCCCAAGGTAAAAAATTTACTTGCTACTTTGCTTTTTATTTTACTTGCTCTACTCCTGAAGGAGGCTAGGTGCTTCTCACTATTAAACCATTGAAGATGGAACCTGTGAGGCCTGGACAGATTCTGTTGAATCAGACCTGTTCTTTCTTCATCACAAGGTGCTGTTTCTGAGCATTGTAAGTTGCTCAAAATGCTTATTTGTTGACCATGGGCTGGAGCTCCTTGTCCTCTTCTCTTCAGGAAACTGCCAGACAAAACTATGTGGATTTG